TTTAGGGTTTAGGGTTTAGGGTTTATTATTTTCTGTACTTTTTTTGACTAAGAAAGGAGAGAAAGCATTACGTATATGACGAGCACAAAGAAGATTTATTCCTTTATTTTCTCCTATTAATATTCCCTCTATGCATGCAACACCAGCAACAGAGGAAGGAGAAGGAAAAGGAGAAGAAGAAGAAGAAGAAAAAGAAGAAAAAGAAGGAGAAGGAGAAGAAAAAGAAGAAAAAGAAGAAAAAGAAGAAAAAGAAGGAGAAGAAAAAGGAGAAGGAGAAGAAAAAGGAGAAAAAGGAGAAGGAGAAAAAGAAGAAGAAGAAGAAGGAGAAGAAGGAGACATATTATATAATAAAGAACGCATGCGTAATAAATGCAAGCCCCGTAAGTTAGAGGAAAAAGGAATATTATCTTTTATAAGAAAATTATTCATTATTGCCTCTCTTTCTTCTATAGATAATACTGGATCTGTACAGAAAAAGGAAAGAAAAAAAAAGAAAAAAAAGTATTTATTTATTTATTTATTTATTTATTTATTTATTATATGTATTATATATACAGGAAAAAAAGAATAAAGGGAAACAAAGGAAAAAAAAAGAAAATAAATAAATAAAAAGAAAATAAATAAATAAATAAATAAATAAAATAAATAATATAAATAAATAAATAAATAAATAAATAAATAAAATAAATAAATAAATAAATAAATAAATAAATAAATAAATAAAAAGGAGTAAACATACCATTAGCAGTTAATGCATCATCAAGGAAATGTTTAATCTTATTAAGAGGATATTTATTAAATAATTCTTTTTCCTTAATAAATAAATAATTATTTATATTTATATTTATTTTCTCCATTATATTTATATATTTATTTTTTATTTCTTCTTTTTTTTTTATACATTCTTCTTCTTCTCTCTTACAATTCAATAATTGATTACTTAGGCAACTATACACACAAAAAAATAAACACAAATATAATTTATTTATTTATTTATTTAATTTATTTATTTATTTATTCTTTTTTTTATTAATTAATATATAAATAATATATATTTGTATAATAATAAGGATAATGGGCATGCATGCATGTATATATTTATTTATTTATTTATTTATTTATTTATATTGTTTATTATTTATATAAATAAATAAATAAATATATTTATCCTTACATAATAAAGTCTGCGCTTGCTGGATAACAGTTATTAGCAGCAGCAGCAGCAGCAGCAGCAGCAGCACTAGCAGCAGCAGGAGGTGCAGCAAGAGATCTTGTACAACTTTTATCTAATGCCATCGCTACAGACTCCGTTAGAGGAGTAATCATATATCCTCCTGTATACACAATTAATAAATAAATAAATAAATAAATAAATAAATAAATAAATAAATAAATAAATAAATAAATAAATAAATATAAAAAATCAAATAAATAAATATAAATAAATAAACAAATAAATATATAAATAAATAAATAAATAAATAAATATAAATAAATAAACAAATAAATATATAAATATATAAATAAATAAATGAATAAATAAATATAAATAAATAAATATATAAATAAATAAATATAAATATATAAATAAGTAAATCAATGAATAAATAAAAATATATAAATAAATAAAATATATAAAGGATAAACAATAAAATAAACAGGATAAAAATATAAGGAAAAAAAAAGAAGGAAAAAAAAACAAAAGAAAAAAAGAAAAGAAAAGAAAAAAAAAGAAGAAAAACTCACCAAAGTCTGCTTCTTTTCCTGCAGCAAAGAAAAAACAAAAAAATAAAGAAAAAAAATAATTAAAATATAAATATATATAATTAAATAAAATATATTTAATTAATTAATTAATTAGTTAATTTATTTATTTATTTATTTATTTATTTATTTACTTATTTATTTATTTACCTATAAATGTACGCCATATTCTTCTTATTGTGCTAAGAAAGCTTTGCGGAGGTCTTGGTGCTGCAGCAACAAGAAAAAAATAAATAAATAAATAAATAAAATAAATAAAATAAAAAAATAAATAGATAAAATAAATAAATAAATAAATAAATAAAATAAATAAATAAAATATATATATTTTTTTCTTACTTGGTAATTGTTCAGGTGCAGCAGCAGCTAAGGTAAGAGAAGGTAATACAAGTAATTCTTCTTTTTTATTTTTATTATTATTTATTAATAAATTAATTAAATCTTGATTAGGTTGAACTTTTATATACTTTCCTGTTGCTGTATCCTATATAAATAAATATAAATAAATAAAAGAAAAAAAGAAGAAAAAAAAAGGATAAGACTAATATATATAAATATATATTTATATTTATTATTTATATTTATATTTATATATATTATGCACTACTACTACTACCATGTATATATTAACTAATTAATTAATTAATTAATTAATTAATTAATTAATTAATTAATTAATTAATTTATTAATTAATTTATTTATTTTTTCTTGCTTACCTCAACAATAGCAACATCTAGATAATTATGTTTAGCATTTTTTATATAAAAAAGGCGATTTTTTTTATCAAGAAATTGTATATTAATATTAATATTATTATTATTTATTTCTTTGTTTAATTCTTTTTTCTTTTTTTTATTTAATAGAGAAAAAAGACGTAAACAAGTAAGAAAACCTAATCTATCTATTATATCCTCTATATTACCTTTATATAGACCTCCTCTTCCTCCTGTTGCTGTTGCTGTTGCACCTCCTCCTCCAGCAGCAGCAGCAGCAGCTGCTGCTGCAGCTGCTGCTGCTGCTGCTGCATGCATAGTATGATTTTGCTGCTGCATCTCGTGCTGCAGCATTGCATGCCTTATTGCCTCTCTTATCTTTGTAGGCAGCAACGGGGCTTTGCTGTCATAAAAGTTGTGCTGCAGTGCTGCTGTTTGCTGCAGCACAACAGTTAATCTATCTATTATATCCCTTCTGTATATACGTTGCTTGCCTGCTGGAGTAAATATTTTTTGCTGCAATTGCTGCAGTTGCTGCTGTTGTTGCTGCATCTCTTGATGGGTCATATGATACCCTTGCTGCTGCTGCTGCTGCAGATATTGCTGCTGCTGCAGCAAAGGATTCATTAATATAGCTAATTGTATATTTTTTAGTGTTTCTTTGTTTATATTTATTATTAAGGAAGGTTTTTTTATTTGCTGCACAGCAGCAATACTTATAATTGCTGCTGCTACGTCTGTATTCATATAACTAGTACTGCTTATTGCTGCAGCAGCAGCAGCAGAATTAAAAAAAAGAGAATTAAATAATAAATTAGGATCTGCTGCTGCTGTATTCAGCTGTATACGCAGCTCTCTTATTAATGCATTCTTTTCTCTATCTATCTCTATTAACCATCTACATAAATATTCATATATTTCCTTATTAAATCCTCCTATTTCCCCTTCCTCTTCTGCCCCTCCTTGCTGCTGCTGTCCTTCCTGCTGCTGTCCTTCCTGCTGCTGTCCTTGCTGCTGCTGCTGCTGCTGCTGCAGTTGCTGTACATAATGAGCAAGTAGAGCTAATTCAGCATTTAATAATTCTCTTAATTCTCTTCTTATGCCCGTAAATGCCCCATCATATAAACGATTCATTATATCTATTAATGGCTCTGTATCCTCAGCTGTAGATACACCTGAATTATTCAATATATACATATATACACACATATAAATAAATATATATATATAAATATATATATAAATATATATAGATAAATATATATAGATTATTCTGCTGTATACATAGATCTATTATTTGCTGTATCTAGTTGTATCTATATCCACCTAGCTGTATCTACCTAACTAGTTATGGCTAGCTAGCTAGCTACCTATAGCTAGCTAGCTAGCTAGCTAGCTAGCTAGCTAGGTAGCTATTTATTCTTACCAAGTAGCTCGCCAAGATCCCTTGATGGTGATCCTTGATAGACTAACATCTGACGTAATTGATTGGCAGTTGTTGGTGTTAATTGGATCACCTCTATCTCTGTATATACACATACAAACCCTAAACCCTAAACCCTAAACCCTAAACCCTAAACCCTAATTTTTGAATCTTAGATTTTGACGCTTTTTTATTAATTTATAAATAAATAAATAAATAATATTATTAACCCTCTCTCTCCCTCCCTCCTTCCCTCCCTCCCTTTATATATATATATATTATATATATTATATATATTATATATATTATATATATTATATATACGTACTATTGAGTATACGTAGAGGAGAAGATTTATACCTCTGTAATTGTACATAATTATGTACAGTAAAAGGAGAGACAGAGAGAGAAAAAAGATTAAATAAATCTTCTTGTTTATGAGGAGAAATAAGGGAATTATATTGTATACTAATAGAGAAAGAAGGAGAAGAAATAATAGATATAGGTATTATTCCTTTTATATGTATAAGACGGCAACAAGAAGGAATAATAGTAATTGAATTAATATTTATATTTTTTATATATAAATATAAATAAAAAGAAGAAATAAATCCGTATTTATCTAGTATTCTTTCCTTATTACAGGAAAAAAATATATTTTTTCCTTCTTTTATTCTATTAATAATATATAATATACCTATAGATAATTTATTTTTTTTATTTATTTTTTTCTTCTCTCCTCCTTCTTTTATTGATTTTATTATATTTATATTATGTATATAATATATATTATATAATAAGGATAATATATTTATTAATAATTCTCCTTCCTTATAGTTATTAATTAATTTATTTTTTCCTCCTTTTATGTATTTTTCTTGTTCTTGTATAAATAATATTATTATTTCTTCTTTTTTCTTCTTTTTTTCTTGCATATATTTATTTATTATTTCCTCTAATAATTCACGATTTATAATTAATTCTTGCTGCTCTTGCTGCAGTATAAGCAGCAGCAGCTGCTGCAGCTGCGCAGAGAAAAACACAGGAGCAGCAAGAAAATCCTCTACCTCTTGTGCAATATTATTCACAAATAATTTTGTTATCCTTCCTGCTCCTCCTTCTCCTCCTCCTCCTCCTGCTGCTGTTGCTGCTGCTGCTGCTGCTGCTGTTGCTGCTGTTGCAGTTGTTGCTGTTGTCGTTCTTTCTCCTCCTCCTCCACCACCACCACCACTGCTGCTGCTGCTGCTGCTGCTGCTGCTGATGTTACTGCTGCTGCTGCTGCTGCTGCTGCTGCTCCTGCTGCTGCTGCTGCGCTTAATTGCAGTCATTAATTCTTCCTCGTATTTAGCCCCTAATGCCTGCAGTCTCTCTAGTAACAAAGTTGTTAATTTTAGTCTTTTTGTTGCTTCTTCTTTCTTATAAGGAATTAATTTTTTTATTGTTTTTTCCTTATTAATTAATATATATCTTAATTCTTTTATTAATAATACACGTAAATCTATTATACTATTATTTATATTATTATTTATATTATTATCTATATCTATTATCTTATTTAATTCCTCTATTATTATTTCCTCCTTTATTTCTTTATTTACTAATAAAGAATTCAATGGGGCTGCAGGAGTTAATTGTCCTTCTCTCTCTAGGTCCCCTAATAGTTGCTGGCATGCATGCACAGGTAGGTCTTGTACTAGTACCCCTATAAATGCACAGCAGCAGCAGCAACAACAACAACAATAAGCAGCAGCAGCAGCAGCAGCAGCAGCAGAGGGGTCCTATAGGAGGAAGGGGGAGAAAAAAGGATAACTTACCATCTAATCGATCCTTTACGCTCTAAGGAGAAACACAAACACAAACAATAAACACACAAAAAAAATAACAACCCCACCACCAGCAACTGCAACAGCAGCAGCAGCAACAGCAGCAGCAGCAGCAGCAGCAGACTTACTTCGAAGCGGCGAGGGGTCGTATAGCCATAGTTCTGACCTCTTATATCCGAGAGGATCCTATCCAACTCTGAGGCAGGAAGGGGACTAAGAGAAGGGCGTGCAGGGGGGCCCCCTAAGTAGGGGGGCCCCTCATTCTCTGTGCATGCAACACAGCAGCAAACATAAATAAGAAACATTAAATAATAAAGGGTTATTTGCTGCTAAAGGTCTTCTCTCCTGCAGCAGGCAGGTGTATATGCAAGTGACAGTAGAAGAGTCTAAATAGGGGAGAAAAAGAAAATAAAGCAGTATAATAATTCGTCAGGTGTACAGACACCTTATAAACCTTAACAAGCTACTTATTTCTTCCTTTTTTTTCTTATAATTACCTGCAATAATTTCCTCCTCATATCCAATTGCAGCAACAAGTTCAGGAGCGATCCACGCCAAGAACGCGTTAACGAGAAGACATTTTAAGACCATTTGAATAAAGAGGCGCTGCGGCTACTGCTGCAGCAAGACGGTGCGATATTGAATCGCCAGCAGCCGTTGGCTGCGGCGGGTAGGAGAGGGAGGGTGATCTGGTGATTAATAGGCAATTATTCCCCTTCCTGTCGCTGCGAGATGAAAGATATTCATAAATACACTCTAAAAAACACCTTACTTAACGCTATATTGTAGAAGTCGCATATAAACGAGGCAAAGTACCACTGGCTTCGACAAGACTAATGAGGTGTACAGACAGTCCGCTGTGAATGCTGCCGCCAAACTTAACGGGAACAGCAGGACGTATTGAATGTACGGTAAAGCGATGTATATTTTCAATATAAAAGAAATTGAAACATTTAATTTAAAGAATAATTATAATATAAAAATTCCTTTTTAAAGAAAATGACGTAAAGAAAGCGGTAGGCGTTAACAGCCCCAGCGCTCTCTACTGCCATCGGCGGTCTGTTTTGTTATATTGTTGTATACAGCGAGGGTCTCATTGTTGTACTGTATGTATGTATTTATTTGTTTAATTTAATTAATTATTATTTATTATTATTTATTATTATATTTCAATCCTTTTTTTACCTCTATTTCATGCATTAATTCTCTTTATCCTCTTCGTTTCCACCGCCAACCGCCACAGACGACAAGCTGAAATCCAGCGGGCAGTCGCTGCAGCGGTCTGCTGCAGCGCTCTTTGTGTAAAATCATTGAAAATAACAATAAAATATAAATAAATAAATAAAAAATAAATATTAATTTATATATTTTTCTAAATAAATAATTATTTAACTCTGCAGCATCTAGATGAGCGCTCCAGCTTAGTGACCGCTAGTAATGATGGTGGTTCTGCTGCTCTGCTGCTGTGCAACAAAGAATAAGACACATAACTTTGCTGTTATTCATTTATTATTTATTAAATAAATAAATAATTAAAAATATTTAAATTAATATTCATATTCAGACTCAATAAAATACAGCTAAGTCTTGTTTATACTCTCCTTAGCATAGAGAAAGGCAGAAAGAGAGTAGCTGTCTGTTTATGTCTTGAGTATAAATTAACTAAATAAGACAAGGGAAGGAAATGCCCTTGTTTATTCGCTATTTTATTCATCTTTTAGGAATAAAAAAGCATACACTGCAACACCATGAACACGATAAGACTATTTAAATACA